AACACTTGTGATTGATTACATTTTATTAAACTTAGACAATTTTAAATATTGGGAGCAATTTAACAATTTAAATGACAGCTTCACGTTATTTCCAATTTTTACTGTCTTTATTTTCCGCTCTGTATAAATATTTACCATTTAAATACGTCGGTGAATTAATTTTCTCTTTTTCGCTTTCAAAACGATTTTGAAAAAGAAAACCAGCTATTTTTGGGGGTGGGGGTTACCTTAACAGCAATTACAACATTTTGAAAAAGTGATAGACATTTCGTAACTTTTTTTTCTTCCTTTTCTCCTCTAACATTCACCTTAGATTAACGCTATGATTCCAGTACATTCTTTAAGCAATCAACAAGCAGATAAATCAATGACGTCAACGTTTGCCTAAAAATAAATGTGAATTACTATCGAATGCCGTGTATTTTAGCCAAATTCGAAAATTGACTGCAACAGGAATCACTTATTTTGTTTAAGAGTTTATTTTTGAAAAGTGGCAATAAAATGAATTCTTCAGAGTCAAAAAGAGGGTTTCCTAAAAGGAAATGGTTTTAATGAGTAGTAGAATAAGTTGATTTGAAAAAAAAAAGAGTAAACAGAAAATTATATTTTATAACGTTTTCTGATTTAATTCATTTTATACTCATCCATTTAATTTACCGAAGTTATTCTAAGTAATATATTATTGTTGTTGTTGTTGTTGTTGTTGTTGTTGTTATAAGCGTTAGTTTTAGTAGGTACATGTATTTGAGTTGCTATCCCTGTTTGTTATCTTTTCGTAAACAGTGAAACTAATAACAACCAGCCTGTAAGGAGAAGTCCTACCAAAGAAAGATTGTGCCTCCGACCAGATATTTTGGTTAAAAAAATCCTATGAAAAAAATAATTCAAACAAATGTTTGAAATAACAATTTATCGGCACACGACAAATGACAGACGATACGTGTCGAGTTTAAAAAGGACAACAAAAAAATTATTCTTAACACGCAAAAAAGAATTATATGAATTTAGTGCTTTGCGTGTCAAATGATGGCCAATAATATGTAAATTATCAATGAAATCAAAATATGCCTTTTTACAATTAAAATTATATTTGCTGCCTAAGAAGGTCGTCATAAAAGAGAACTGCATAAAGCGAAGAAAAAGAGAAATTTACTATACTTTTTGTATGATGAAGGTTCATGGTTTCTTTCTTTTTTTTTTTAGTGGTAACAGCGAAGATTTAGTTAGATTAATCGTACTAGACGAAGATTTTTCTTTGGGGTGGGAGGTCTTTCAGTTATCGTCTGATAATTGTCTAAATTCTTCTGCGTCGGGTTCCTTCTCAACATCTTATAAATATATTGTTTCACAGTCCTGATCATGCGTTCCCACGTACTGCCCATTCACACTGAATATAAAGGAATAATGAAGTGCTTAATGCGCCTTGTTTGTTTTTGATTTTGACGACTGCACAGTACAGTAGGGTCAGTTGGGCACCTTCTGTGAGAAAAAGAGCACCATGATGCTACTCACTCAGCTAGAAATTTGGAAACGGCATGCACCGGAACCTTCAATATGAACATTCCAGAGTGTTTGGGTGTCAATTTGAGAACAGTACGGAGGATTTGGAAAGAGTCGGATGGGTCTAATGGTGATTACGAAGTCACGATAACTCGGAAAATTCACTCTGATCGTTCTGATAATAAAAGGACTCCCGAATTTGTTGGTCTCGGACTCAACACGGAGGCCAACGAAGAGTTAGTGATGCGTAGATCAACAGGGTGGCTACATTAATGTATTTTAATCTATTCTTGATAAACTGTTTTTGAGGATTTATTTCACCAGACAATAAACAACATAACGCTATTTGTGCATCAACAGCAATAAATATAACTTTGATAGAAATATTTGATAATGGTTTCAAACTGTTCTTAATATGTTTCACAGCTAAGTACATAGATAATAATTCAAGTGATGGCGAAGAATTTGCTTTTACGGCCGCTATCCTAACCTTAGCCAAAATTAAAGAGGATATAGAATCCTGTCTAATATAGGAGGCAGAACCATATGTCATTTTAGAAGAATCACAAAATAAATACAATTCGTACGAATTAAACAGACAACTGCACATCTAGTAAAAAATGCAATAATAATAACAGAAAAATTGTAATATGAGCACTGGTAAAAATGTTTGCTGTAACATTAGATTTATAAGTCCCAAAAACTCATACATAGATTACCTCAAGGACACATGGCGCCAGTGGATAAAGGCGTTGGTTAGATCCAGTGACTACACCCAAAGAGTTGTGAGTTCGATATCAGACTACAGCAGTAGTAAACCAAAACTTGGAGAGATTAGTTAAAATGAGATAACTAAGATATCCGGCACGTGGAACTAGAACAATCTACTCCGGTGGACGAAATAAAGAGTTCGGTTCGAAATTCCAATCACATGAAGAAGGCCGGGCGTACAACGGCCGAAACGTTGTGAATATGGAAATGATGTTTAGGATAACAGTGTAAATAATGTAAGTAATCAGCCGTTTATTACGTCGAAATAACATTATCAAATCTAATATGTTCATCAAATTGACATTCAAACCGAGAAATGTTATTCCACAGTTTTAATATGCAAATAGTTAGTTTTATCAACGGTGTCCAATTAAATGAAAGATTTCTCATTCCAGTTATGATGCCCGACATTGTCACAAATGTTGGTCAAATGCATATTAAAACGTTGCTACTACACTGGTAATAAATTTTCAGTTTCGGTTGTTTGCATTTGATATATATACCAAATGACAGGCGAAATTTATAAATGAAATCAGGCCAAGTCTAAATGAGAATAAGGCAATGATATACAATAAAACCAATGCTAAAATAACAATGAAACCTGGAGAATCCCCGTGCGTTATCCAAAAGTCACCGAACAAAAATAATTTTTAAAAGAACACAAATCTCAAACATCTACAATCCATGCTCCAACTCCCATCGGAGAAAACGCCCCAACAAAAACCTCGAGAGAGAAATCTACCAAAGAAAATACAAGAATACAAAAAAGTCAACAAACACAAACCAAAAAGAATCTTGAAACAAAAAATAGGTTTGAAACCCTAGAAAAAAGGGACATACACCCAACAAGCATATCTAAAAACAAGTCCAACAAATCAAATACATAAAATATTGAAGTAACACAACATAAACTTATTGATAAGCATATTTATACTTATTTAGAAACAATGACAAACAAAATAATACAATGGAACAGGTTCCAAAACTAATATTAACGAATTAATTATCCACACTTTGACCATCAGCCCAGCAATTATATGTTTACAGAAAACTCAGCAGAAATAAAAGAATACTCTCAACATAAAACATTAGTTTTACTATATTTTCATCAAACAAGTTCCACGAATAATACAACCTTGCAGGCGGTAACAATAACAGCTACGCTTCGCAAAGCAATAACCTTCTGCTCCATATACACACCTCTCGATGAAGTCTCTCATGAAACGGAATTACATCAATTAATATAGCAATTACCAAAACCATATTAAACATTAACAGTCATAACATAATATGGGGGAGTAAAGAAACAAATAACAAAGGCAAAATCATAGAAACATTATAAAATCAAAGACAACTATGTCTCCTAAATAACAAAACAAATATATACATATATCCAGCAACATACACTGCCATAGACTTAACAATCCGTGGCAGTTAACATATACATGGATTATACCGGATCAACTTATAATGAAACATGTGAAAGTGATCAATTATAATGAATAACCTAATCCCTAAACTAAATGACAAAACACCCCGCTGGAATGTCCTAAAAGCTAACTGAACAGACTTCCAAAATGCCTCCAGACTCAAACTGATAACAGAAAGAAACAAATAAGAAAGAACTAATAATGGCGCATTTTACCGATATCCTACTCTCAATAAACAATGAAACCATAACCATGTTTAATGGATGTCAGTTATCAGTTATCTCCTGCTAATTTCCCTCTGAAAGTTCTCCACTGCCTTAACCGGCTATTGAACTCACACTCTTTGGGTCGTGTCACTGGATCTAACCAACGCCTTTATCCACTGTGCCATGTGTCCTTAACACATACCACGTGGAACTAGAACAGTCTACCCCAGTGAGCGAAATAAAGGGTTCGGTTCGAAATTCCAACCACCTGAAGAAGGCCGGAGCGTACAACGGCCGAAACTTTGTGATAAATATGGCGACAAAGATGAGGAGAATAGTCCGAATAATGTAAATAATGTACATAATACCTCATCTCAGAAATATAGACAGACTAATTTCGTTACATTCATTTTCTCGCAAATAACGCTGGAAATTTTTTTAATCCTATACTTATCCCTTATAATCTATGAGTTAAATAGTAGGGTAAACTGAGCTCTTCAGCCTTGGTTCGCAACCAGCCTAGGTAAAGAACAAAACTGATTTCAAGGTTGATTGGGTATAAAAATAAGCAATATCATCCCGTAAGTCGTACTTGCTAAGGAATACCCAGCAGCACTGTCTAGATCTATACGTTCTCAGTGTAGTCTACAGGACTAGAGTGAGAGATTGAGTGACGATATTAAACACCTTACCAACGCCTAGACTCCACTAGTGATTAGCGGTGATATAAGTTTGGCATGACTTCAGGACTAATGGATTACCTATTATTTTACAAATGCTTCTCTTTTCGAATTCTTCCAGCTAGAAGGCGTTATCCTAAAAGAACATAACAACGAAAAGAAAATTCTCTAATCCTTAGATTTTTAAAAATAAAAAATTAAAAAAAAGTATTTCAAGAAAGCCATATAAACTTACTTTTTTGTCCAAAGTTTTAACACATTTTGTGTGTCCCTTGAATATTGGCCAAAACTTTTAGATGTAATCATGGCAACTGTCGATGAAATCCTAGATTTGAATGCCTGCTTCCGCTCTGTCTAGACAGACATCATAATGGAGAAGAAAATCCTACTTGTTGTCTGTGCACTCAAAAACAATGTCTCTGCTCTTTTCTACGCCACCAGAATCGGTTGTGATCTCCAAATACAGAAAACAGAAATCCTTGTCTGTATTATAAGATTAAGAGATGATTAAAACTAAACGACAAAACAACATTAATATACACAAAAGTGGATTATTATGTTTCAGAAATTTTATCCGTCGATTTCGTTTTTACGAGCCAACCGTAAATGATATTTTAGTAAACTATTATATTTATTTATTCCTTGTTAGTTTGGGGTGGCTGTTATGTAGAATATTTCCTTTATTTCTTTAATTTATATCCCACTTTTTTTGCTTTATTTTTTGTCAACGTTTTTTTTAGGAGAATCCTCCTATGATTATCCGTCAATGTCGACTGTTCATTATCTCACCCTGTTAGATACTGTCTTGTTTTACTGATTTACAGAAGCAAGAAAAAGCTGAGAAAGCAATATACTTTTCATTAATATTCTCTTATTTATATTACTCTATATTTGGGAACTGGATACAGTGGCGTAGCTAGAGTAAACGTCACCCGGGGCAGTCCGCTCAAATGTCACCCCAATGACCCCGATTCACCCTATGCTGAATGGTTAGCTGTAGCTAAATTTTCATACATGCTCTACCTCTACTTTACTCTACTGACCGGTACGTTACTGTTTACATGTATGATCCAAGACAAAATCCAATACCACAAAATAATCAGTTCAAATCAAAAGATTTTTAAAATGCTCACTTTCAGAACAACTAAATACAAAACACGGCAATACACAAAAGAATGACATTCGATACTATGGTCTTAGAATGAATGTTTTCTTGTTTTCATTATGGCAAACTGGTCAATGACATCGTCAAAATCTGTTTGTCTTGTAAGCTCGTTTTCAATGGACAGCACAGCCAGATCCGACAGTCTCGACTGGCTCATGGTTGACGTAATTTTCTGTTGCTAATTTTCCGGTGTCCATCATTTTCTGTTGCATCATTTTTTTCCATTTAATTATCAATGATGTTTGAAAGTATTTTTCTTGACAAAAATGTTCTATTTAATTTTTTTCTGACGGGGAGGGACAAAACTGGTGGGTCATAAATTATTTCTGGGGGTCATATGCCCGCCTGCGAAACCCTGTGTCTCCACCACTGTTTTCAGACTATTTTTGGCACCTTAGCCTAGTTGAAAAATTTTGTTGGGGGTGACATTGTGTCACCCCCTCCTGTGCTGGTACCCGGGGCGGTCCGCCCCCCCTTAGCTACGCCACTGACTGGATACGCAGCGAATCTTCATATCACTCGTGTTTTTATTATACTAACTTATGGAGGGTTATACGCAGCTCAACTTTATATTAATTGTTTTTATTATCCTTACTTATGAAGAGTTATACACAAGATACACAACTCAACTTTATATTCGTCGTGTTTTTATTATTCTAACTTATGGAGGATGATGTGCAGCTCAACTTTATAATAATCGTGATTTTATTATCCCAATTTATGGTGGATGTTACGCAGCTCAAATCAACTATGCAGGTCAACTTCATGTCAAACTTGTTTTTATTAGCCTATCTTTTGGTGGTTGATACGCAGGTTAATTTTCTGTTAATCGGGGTTTTATAATTCTATCTTTAGAAGATTGGTACACAGTTCAATTTTATATCCAATCTGTTTTTATAATTCTATATTTTGGTAGTTGGTACGCATCTCTACTTTATATCAATAAAGTTTTTTATTACTGTTACTTACGGTGAGTGGTACGCATATCAATTTTTATATCAATAGAGTTTGTATTATTATATTTTATGAGTGTGACACTCGGCTCAACTCTTTATCAATCCTGTTTTTGTTATACACTTATTTGGAAGTTGATACCCAGCTCAACTTTATATCAATCGTGATTTTATTGTTCAATATTTTGGTGGTTCATACGCAACTCGGTTTTATCTCATTTGTGTTTTTATATTTCTATTTTTTGGTGGGGTGATATGTAGCTCAATTTAAAACTTAATGGAAAAAAAAAAGTTTGGTTAGAATTTTGCTTCCCAGTTTAAAAATTGAATACAAGTGTGATTTCTTTCAAGAAGCATATTTCCTTTTGTAAGTCTTTCAATTTCTACACCAGTAGATAATAATTTCACTTTTTTTTAAATAATTTACTTTGTTCGGACTATTGTTCTCATCTTTCTTGCAATATAACTTTTCGGTCGTTGTACGCTCCGGTGATTGGAATTTCGAACCGAACCTTTTATTTCGTCCACCGGAGTAGATTGTTCTAGTTCCACGCGCCATGCCTCTCCCGGATATCTCAGTAGTACATGGCCCAGTGACTTGACCCAAAGCGTTGTTGGCTACAGCAGAGGTGAACAAAAACGTGGAGAGTTGAGTTAAAGGGAAATAACTGATGCTGAGGTATCTGGAAGAGGCATGACTCGTGGAACTAGAACAATCTACCCCTGTGGACGAAATGAAGGGTTTGTTTTGAATTTCCAATCACCTGAAACGTCGTGAATATAGCAAAAACATATATATATATATATATATATATATATATATATATAAAGTCCGACAATTATTTTAAGACATTTTTATATGTTTATACATTCTTTTTATAGATATAAATATTTAAGTAAATGCTCTGTTTATAATAAACACTCTTAAACATTTACCGGCCTGACTGTCCGAGAAATTTTCATGACCTACTTAAAGCTGAAACAATACAAGACAGACTTGACAAAAGAAAAAAAAACTCGTCTAAGCTCCTAAAAAACAAGTAAACATTGCTGCCAAGGAGGTACGTACCCATACTAATATAATTTAAAAAAAAAAGAAAACAGATAAAACCAATATCTTCGTTGTATTACAAAATGTGATTACAATTCAAAATTACTACAAATACTTGACGATCACACCAAATTTGAAAAAGTTAACAAAAATCCTATTAAGCAAATGAAATTGAAAATCAAGAAACTGCTCACAGCCAACAACGACAATTTAAAACTTCAGAAAATAATTAGTGACTACAAACCGAGGTACGTGTATGGAACCATGATAATACATAAACCTAATATCCTTCTACGTCCCATCATATCCTAAATCCCCCACTCCGATTTAGCAATTAACCAAAATCATTAACCAACTCATTACCTCATTACCTCATACATACCTAATAAATACAGCATTAAATCAGCTCACGAACTAAACCAAATCTTAAAAAAATCTAATAATGAAACCATAGCCTCATTTGACGTTGAAAGTTTATTTACCAATGTCTCAGTTAGAGAAACGACTGATAAAATTATATCACTGATATGAATATTCGAGAATTGTTATTAAAGAAAATGATGCGGCCATCTTTTATTCTTTAATAAGATTCCTTGAATACTAAAACGTTATTCATAAAGTCTGTCGGATTAATAAATAAAAAAATACATTACATTTTTAAAATATATATATCCTGTGGCTTTTCTATAACTAATTTCAAGGTAATTGTTCGAGTGAGCTTTTCAACATGGCACCTAGACTTTATGAATTTAAGCGCAACAAGGTCTCATCAATTTACAGTTGAATTAGCAAGATGTACCCACCTAACTTCCGTGCTAACAGTTTCGTTTCTATACTTCTCGCTTTTCAAACTCTCTTCTGTCTCCATGTTTTCCGGCCATCTTTGATCTTCAAAAATTTAAATGCAATGTCATCCTGAGTACTCTACTATTTTTTTTATCGCTTTTTCATAATGTTTCTGTTTTCTAATTATTTTACACTCAGTAATCCCTTGTATCTTAGTGACTTTACTGCGCTGGTTGGGCTAAATTCGATTATATATATATATATATATATATATACTCCTTTTTTATGTATATACGAGTACTCTATTTCAAATTCTTTTAAAATAGTTTTTTTAATAAACGTGAAAATAACAATTTTAGAATATTTACCTGTATATACGTTTCTCTACGGTGGTTAAATAAGAGCAGTTTTATTTTGGAAGCGTTAAAATGTACAAGCCATTTCTTGTCCCGGTTAACCACTGATTAGAGTTCCTTTTCAAGAGCAGCAGCCAGTTTAACTGTCAGCTCTGATGGATTTGCTATTGACATAGAATAATAGTGCCATCTGCATGAATATCTACTTGAGAACTGATGATATCATGAAGATTATTGATGAAGAAACAGCGTAGGACTCAGGATAGAACTTCCGGTTACACTACGTTGTGTGAAAGGATCTGGAAGCGGGTTCGTTCAAAAAGACATTCTTTTTATGATTTGATAGGAGCGATTGCATTAAACCAAACAATCGCCCTGTAATACCGTAGCTCTGGAGCTTACGTAGGAGACCTGGATGTGAAAGCCTGTCAAACACCTTCGAGATGTCTAGAGCCACCGTTATTATCAAGTGTTTGATATACATATTCAGTTATCGCCATTAATGTATCAGCAGCGGTAGACCTGGCGAAACGGAAGCCATATTATTTATCCGAGTGTAGGTCGTGAGAAGTAAGATGCTTAACCACTTCAGCATTGTTTAGAGCCTCGAATACTTTGCCGAAAAGCTGTAACTTAAAGGGCGGTAGTTTGAGGAGTCAGAGGGTTATCAAGAGTTCTTTAAAACAGGAACTACAGAGGAGAAGTTCCAAGAAGTAAAGCAGGAAGCAGCGAGACAATTGTTGTAGAATTTGAAGAGAACTGGAGCCAGTTCTAGAGTACATTTCTTTTGGATGACGGCTGGGATCCCGTCACTTACGCTTGCTTTGTAGGAGTCTACTTTGGAAATAATGCCTGATACAAATGACGGGGTTATGCGCATGTCACTTGGTAGAGCCTGCGTTCTAGGCGGGTTGGGGGGAATCAGGTATGGATGAGTCGTGTGGAGTTCAAAGAGAATTTCCGAGCCAAGCATTCAACTTTATCTGCAGTAGAGGTCAGGATTTCAAATTGATTGAATAGATGAATGATTGAGGATTTATATTTTTTCAGTAGGCACTCGCAGAGCTGCCAATAATCTCTAGAATTGAACTTGCGAGATGCTATGCGTTGTTTCATTCTATCAGCAAACAGTAACTTCGCTTCATTGACAAACATGCTTGCACTTATTACGAGCAGAAATAAAAAGACGTTTGTTACAATCAGACATGTCGCTCGGGTATAGCCAGAAAAAATAATTCCAGTTGGCTATAGCGGCTGATCATGCAGGTGAGAACCAAAGAGATGGTATTTCCGTGATGGAATGAAAACTGTGATGCCAGCTTTCATCCAGGAGGAGACCTCAGAGGCACATTCTTGAATAGGATGATTAAAGACTTCATTCGAAGAGACGTCACAAAGGAAGTCTTGAAACGAGTCCCAATCAGCACGTTGATAACAGAAAGATATTCTGTTGGTAGGAGGTTCTTGGTTGATGGGTGACCGAAAAGAGATGATCAGAGTTGCCAAGAGGGCGGAGCTGCGTAGTATGACGAGAGTCAGGGATAGAAGTAGAAAAAAAGAGATCTAGAAGAGGAGCGTGTCTGTCAGAATTACTAGGGAAGCGGTTAGGGACGTCAACGACGTGTGTGAGAGATTGTGTGATTGAGAAATTAAGGGTTTCGATGCCAGCGACGTCAGCGTCAGAGTCTTTAAAACACCTGGTTTGGTAATACAGTGCTGTTCGATAAAAATGACTCACCTGATTTTTTTTTTACTAAATGTTCTCTTCTTCGATGCAACAAAAGTTGAGCTAAATTCAAAGGATAAGTGATCTAAAATCCGAAGATGTAGCTCATCTGCTTTCTCGAGAGCCTGTACTTTATAATGCTCCATAAGATTTCTATGGGGTTGAGGTCAGGAGATTGGGGCACCCATGTCATAACACTCACCTGCTTCTCATCAAAGTATTCCTTCATCAATTTTTATTTGTGACAGGGAGCATTATCCTATATAAAAATGAGCTTGGTGGGGTCGATTTGCACCCTTTCAGCAGAAGGGAGCAGACAAGACTAAAATTCTCTTGTACTGCTCACTCCTGAGGGTCTTTTCAATAGGTTTTAAGAAACTGGTTCCATGAAAAGAAAAGCATCCCCAGAACATTATCCTGAACGGATGCTTGACAGTACTTACTGCTAAATTCAAAGAGCTTTCAAAACTTCTTCTTCGGATTTTAGATCGCTTATCCTTTGAATTTAGCTCAACTTTCGTTTCATCGGAGAAGAGAACATTTAGTAAAAAAACATCAGGCGAGTCACTTTTATCGAACAGCGCTGTATGTTTGCAAATGGGTGTAGGGAGATGACCTTGTCTATATTATTGGAAATACTATCTAGCACACAACAGTCATTAAAGGTGTGTGTGTGTGTGTGTGTGTGTGTGTGTGTGTGTGTGTGTGTGTGTGTGTGTGTGTGTGTGGTGTTGGTAATACATATGGCATTGTTCAAATAATATTTGAATAAATAATGCGTTGTGAAAGGAAAATTATTTATAGAACAGAATTCAAACTAATATAACATATGGAAAATTTACTGCACGTATTTGGTTGTATTAATAGGTTGTCCCAAAAGTTCGTAAACACTTGCAAAAAAATGAAATTTTACTCGCCAAGTAATAACAAAAACAACAAAAATTATTCCTCAAAATAAAGACCATCATTTTCCAAGACTTTCTGCCATCGATCTGCAAGCTTTCGGATCTGGTGAAAGTACCATTCAGCCGGCTTCGAATCAAAGAATTCTTGACACGCTTCCTCGACTTCATCAAACGAGTCGAATCGGCGGCCCTTCAGAAAGTGTTGCATTGAGCGGAAAAGGCCGTAATCTGATGGAGCACAGTCAGGACTGTAGGCTGGATGTGGTAGAACCTCAACGCCGTCCAGCTCTTCAAACTTTTCTTTGATCTTCCTGGCGGTGTGTGGCTTGGCATTGTCCTGCTGCATCAAAGCGCGCTTTCGGTTGATCAGAGCCGGGTACTTTTGCTTCAACTTTTCATAGACCCGCTCCAGTTGCTGACAGTAAAGTTCGGCACTGATGGCACGACCATTCGAACCAACTCAAAATGCACGATTCCTTCAAAAGTTCCACCAAACGCACAACATGACTTTCTTGCCGAATCGATCTTGTTTTTGGAACCGACAGTGTCTTTTGCCCTTTCTGAACCCATCGCTTGTCTCGATCGTGCTGGACCAGATAGACCCATTTATCGTCCGATGTCACAATGGGCTTCCAAAAACGCTCGTCCAATGGATTGCTGAGCAATTGACGGCAAATTTCAACTCGTCTGTTGGCTTGTGCTTCGGTGAGTTCGTGCGGATATTGGCGCGGCTTTTTGTGAACAAAATCAAGTTGCTTCAAGTGTCGGTGAATTGTCGATTTGCCAACTCCAAGCACATCAGCCAATTCTCGATAAAGTAAAAAAACAATTAAAAATTGCATAAAAATTCAATTTTTCGCAAGTGTTTACGAACTTTTGGGACAACCTAATATATATAATTACACCACCAAAGACCATTTAAAAACATTGTTCAAAATATCTTCCAGTTCTTATATGAAAAATTGGGGTACCTAGTTGGTTGATGTTTATACAATCATCTTAAACTATCAATATATCTGTACGCAGCATAACAGTATAATATTGTAATATTAAATACAAATGTGAGTGTGGTTTATATACTCATCAATAATGTAAATACTTTCATGTTAAGACCTTCATGGCCAGAAATGAATAACTAAATTGGAAGTATTTTTTTTCTCGACCATTTCACTAGATTTATGAGACATCTGTTTTCCTTCTGTAAAAGCTGATAAACCTGTTTTATTTACATTGTACATTAGATGAATTTGTTCGGAGATAATATCGTAGCTGAAACCATTCCTTCTGAAATGTTTCATAACAGTTATTTTCTAATTTTACTCTTTGTCCATAGCACATTTCTAGCCATAAATATGTGTCTCTGTGTCATTTTCACCTTTTAAAATTTCTTTCTTTCTTCTTTCCTTCTTTCTTTCTTTCTTTCTTTTTTCTTTCTTCTTTCTTCTTTCTTTCTTTCTTCCATTCTTTCTTTCATTCTTTCTTCTTTCTTTCTTTCATTCTTTCTTTCTTTCTTTCTTTCTTCTTTATTTCTTTCTTTCTTTCTTTTTTTTTCCTTCTTTTTCTTTCTTTCTTTTTCTTTCCTTCTTCTTTCTTTCTTTATTTCTTCTTTCTTTCTTTCATTCTTTCTTCTTTCTTTCTTTCTTTCTTTCATTCTTTTTTCTTTCTTTCTTTTTTATTTCCTTCTTCTTTCTTTCTTTCTTCTTTCATTCTTTCTTCTTTCTTTCTTTCTTCTTTCTTTCTTTCATTCTTTCTTCTTTCTTTCTTTCTTTCTGGTCTGTTAGAAATGGCGCTGTATCGTTTCCTGTCTTTTAATTGCAAACACGAAACCAATGTAAATGCATTAACATGTCATGTATGTTTCGACCTTGTGTAAGTCTCGAGTTACACGTGTGAACATTATGAACATCATATGATCTGATTACGCACGTGATTTTTCAATGCATGCATACGAAGTTGTACCGACCGAAAAATCTAAATTCGAATGTGTCTTCCGAATTGATGTAGCGGAGATCCGAGTTCGAATTCCAGTCAAGTTTGTTACATTCACTCACGCGAAAGTGGCCTTCCCCTCCCCACCAGCTATGAGTCAAACAGTAGGGCAGAGAATTGTTTGGCAACCAGTCTAGTAGAAGGACAACACTGAATTAAAAAAAAAAGATTGAACATGGGGCTAGCAATCCCATCCCGTAAAAATCGACTTCCTGTTGGAACCACAGTAGCATTGCCCCATACTCCTTACGGGACTTGTAAGAGAAAGAGAGAGAGAGTGTGTGTGACAACAAATTGGGTGAAGTTGCACATTGCATCTCCTGTTGTTACAAATACCGTCTGTTCTAAGGGACATTAGCATGGTTCGGGATCCTGTTTATTTTTTGTCTATTTTTTTATTTTTTCGCAATGGCTAATAAAAACAAAAACAGTGCACATAAAGATTTCTTTTATCTGTGGAAGAACTGCTGTTGGAATTGTTGTCATACATTAATTAAGATTTTTTAAGGAAGAAGCTTAAAGCAAATCATATGAATGTGAGTCATATTCGTGTTTCAGACCCGATGAAATGTCACTCGTACGATTTTTGCAGGTTAGCCTTACAGATTGTTATGACTATAATTTGATCTTAAATAAATAGTCCACAATTTTGACCACTTTCCAGATAACACTAAAATTAATCCTCGGATTAGGGTGTCGTGAAAGACAGTGACAGGTTTTCCCGCCAACTGGTATTTATTCATACAAAAAGTACAAATTGTGGCACGAGGGGTAGAGGCTGGTCAACACTAACTATCTTATACCTAGCTAATCAGATTCGCGACCCATTCGTACATTACATTTTACCCATTCACCAAAAGAACTCGTCCATCACCAAACAATCCTTCAACCACCATAATACCACGTGCTCTCAAGGGAGACCTACCAAAATCGCGCCCCATGCCGTAAAAATTTTAATGATGATATATATATACAATTCTAATAATGATAAAATGAGAGGGGAGGGAAATGAACCCAATAATAAACTTAAAATAAACACAAATACAAACTAAACATAATTGATGTTAGTGGGGACCGTCCAACCCATAAAACAGAGAGACCGCTGTATTCTGCCCAGGGGACAAAATCAAGAGACGCTCTCGCTAAGGGAGTGGGGAAAAGTATAAAATATTAGGCTGGAATGGGAAAATATAAAACTGACCCAGTCGAGATGAAAAAAAAGTGGGGGTCAAAACAAACTGGGGAGGTTGCAAATCTCGACTTGGATCATAACCAAAGAACGGCCGGGATGCAGGCCAGGAACAACACTTACTCACATTAACTAGGTACAATGAAGCTTGTCTAACCTAACCAAGGGGAGGGTTCCACAGGAAGCCACCCCGATGTGCAATAGGTTGACCTAGAAGAGAAAATCAAGGCTAGCCCCGTTCACACGAAGCAAGCTCGCTTCTTTTACCCACCTTTCGCTAAAGACTGTCGAATGCAATCGTTTTCTATCCGATCTAATCTTCATCTTGAGGTGATGCTCAAAGAATCGAATTAGATCCTAATGAGAAAGACGATTGCCTCGCAAGACTTCCTCCTTTCGCGTCGTTCAAATCACCATTCGAGCCGTGGCCATCAGCGTTAGAAACACCATCCGTTTCATCCCGGAATACGGGGGCGACACATTGTCACACGCGTATGCGCGATCAATGGACACAAGCTGTTCGGGAGCGAGACGAGCCGTCAGCTCGCCGACATGGTCCCATAAGGGGCGGACCTGGGGCAATGGTAGAAGGCGTGCGCAGCCGTTTCTTCTAAGGCAAGGTCACACCGTTCACAGTCTGGCAAATCCGCCAAGCCCCATATGAAAGCCTTGTCGTTGAGAGGCAGCCGATTCCGAGCCAATCGCCAGCTCAGCGAAAACTCAGGGTTACTGAGGTAATCCGCCGCTGGCGTCCAAGACCAGTAGGAGCGATACTCCTCCTCCGACAAGCCGAGCATATCTCGTAGGGGATCCTTCGCGGGCCTCTCCACTAATTCACGATAGAAGACCTTCCCTAGGCCGAGAAAGGTCACTGGACCGGGAACGGCCCTCAAGGCCGACCGACACTCGCGAAGGAAAACCGATTGATCCCGGGTTTACGACCGCGCTCAACCCGCGAGATGGGGGTATGATGGTAAGTCCAGGGAACGCGTCCCCAACAATCCCTCCAGAATCGGATCTCCTCCAGTCAATGCGCGGCGTAGGAAAGCCAACCTAGAGGCACGGATGTGACTCGGCAGGTGCGGCATTCCCAGCCCCCCATGACAAGGCTCTATTTGCAAAACTTTGCTTAACCTAGCATCAAAACATCAATTTATGTTACTACATCGGATACTACCAAACGGTCACTCGTTTAAAGTAGTAACCTGTTCACCATCGCTTTACTGATGTGATTAGACAGAAGCCTTTATGTAAACACTGAACCAATTCATTGGTACTTCAGTAAATGAGCAAGAGCCCCTGCTTTCAGCGGGATTTGAACAATTGCTGAGGGTTAATTTATTTTTACAGATTATCAACACTTTGTGGCTTATTTAAAACCGAAATATATTTTGGATTGTATGAATAATACTTTTTTACGAGTAAATATTGCATTAACAATTATTTTAGAATTACCATGATTTTTCTAGATGCTAGTCTTACTATTTAACCCACAGTAGGGTGTTGAGATGCATTTATACCTATTTCTAAATACTTCGGGCATAAATGACTGTAACACACCCGCCTGGAATTCGAACTTGATTCTCATTCCGAGCCGATATCCATTACACCATCCGCACATCCTAGAATTACTAGAAGAGAATCTTTATAGTCTCATCGACCAAAAAAAGACACAATGCATCTTATTAGAATTATAAAGGCGGAAAATTGTAGTTACTCTCCAGAAAGAAGCGACTATCTACGACGATCGGAAAATTGTTTCAAAAAGAATCTCAATGCAAAAAATCGACATATTGAAAGAAAGAAAAACAGGTATCAACAAAAGAAGTCAGCTAGAAATTAATGAGTTTATCAGAACTCATTAATACAAAGAGTACAAAAGAGAAATACAATTATCTTGAAAAATTGGAATTAGATTCCTTTAAACAGAATGAAATGAAAGAAAGTAGCAGAACAATGGACGTTTGAAAATTGCACCAAACAGCAGAAAATGAAGGTCGTTCAAACCAGTTAACATAACTTAGCTGTAAATGTATGAAATGATGGAACTAAAGAATGGAACATTTACCATGGATATAGCGATAGAGTGCATATATATATATATATATATATATGGTAGAAGGTATATATATATAGATGGTAGAAGGTATATATATATATATATATATATATATATATATATAGAGAGAGAGAGAGAGAGAGAGAGAGAGAGAGAGAGAGAGGAGGAACGGTGGAGCAGTGGATAGCGGCTTGGATTGAGGAATCGCAGAGCCGAGTGGCATGCATTCGGTGCACCAGGTTTCTGTATTCGTCCCTCCAAAAAGTGTGGCTGGTCCTGCACGAGGCCTTCACCACTATAAACAAATCTCATGTGCCGGAGTCGGGATGTCGGTTTCCTGGGGACTTATCGGCCTGACCCTCATACGTCGAACGCGACGTGAGAGTCGATTATATATATATATATATAACTTCGAGTTGGTTCTTCAACGTGAAAAATAACCTTCTTTCGAAGTTGGTTGAGTCTCCTAAATAAGGAGGCGAGTATGTGAAAAAATAGCAAAAGTCTTTTATCAAAAGTGAAATAATTATATATGTTTTGATTTTTCTGTAGAAATGTATGTCTGTACACTTGCGTAGACAGTTTTGCCAACAATCTGTTTTGACTTGAGTTAACATAAAAGTATTTAAGCAACGTTTTATGTGGACGTTTTTGACATAATTGCGTATCACAATGTATAGCCATCCATTAAAATATTTACATCGATTGTCCATACATAAGCATATATATATATATATATATATATATATATATATATATATATATATATATATAAAGAGAGAGAAACATACGCGCAGAGACATATATGTAGACAGGCAGACACATATACAAAACATATATATGCATACACACAAATGCATACACACACACACACATATATATATATATATATATATATATATATATATATATATATATATGGCCTGACGATTGCATCTAGCATTAAACAGACTGTCGCCTGTAAGTGTTGACTTCTATGTTCACTTTTTACTTATATATATATATATATATATATATATATATATATATATATAGAGAGAGAGAGAGAGAGAGAGGCATATAGACACAAATATACGTATATATATATAGACACACAGGCGCCCATACACACACATATGTACACACAAACATACACAAACACACGCACACGCACACACATACACACACATATTGTCCAGTGGTAAGCCAGTTGGCATAATAGCGAGTTGGTAGCTAATGGGGAAAATGTACTGATATAGATAGAAACGTATTTCACATCAGCTGAAAAAAAAACAAAAAACGTCGATTTATTTGCTGGCGTATCCTTTCCTATAACGGCCTCCTGGTAATTTTTATGTCTCTCTTTTGGCGCCAATTCTAAAACACGTGACCAGTCTTTATGCTCTTCAGCGAAGAAGCGTGGCATCTTTACTGTTCTTCTTGACAGTTTTTTTTTTGTGTGTGTGTGTGTGGTTTTTGTTTGTTTTTGTTTTTATTTTTCAGTGCCTCTTTTTTGTGTGCACTCATCTTATGCCGCGCTCGTCTCTCTTGACGTAACTTTTACAGGATTTGGTCGACGCGAGAACAACTTCAAGGAATATAAAGGTATATAAATAGAACTGTCGTTAACCAATGGAAATTTTATTAGGATCTTAGAAAGAAAACTAAACATCGTTACAGAGACAATCAAATAAAAATCACGAGTAGCCACACATCAAATACAGGTAGAGAAAATTTATTGTCTTACGTTAGTCAGTACTATTTTTAATTGGGTGCTACTCCCAAGGGCACCACTATTCAGGCCTTGTGTCATACTTAGTTAATCCAAGGATAAAATAAGTTATTCTCCACAAACAACAATTAGCAAGCTAGTTTCATAGTCTATGAATGCTAACCTGAACTCAATGAGTGCTCATACTAATGGTCTTGTACCAGACTAAAGTAAAGCTTGAAAATAATATTATTGAATTATAAGAAACTCCCGAGCAACTAAATTATTTTAACTTAACACTTTTAGTGATACACAAATATAAATGTACGAATGTATTCAATGCCGAAATGTTTTCAGCTCGAACAAGAACCCTCTCTCTCTCTCTCTCTCTCTCTCTATCTATCTATCTATCTATCTATCTATCTATCTCTCTGTGTGTGTGTGTGTGTGTGTGTGTGTGTGTGTGTGTGTGTGTGTGTGTGTGATAGAGAGAGAGAGAGATTTCCGGTGCGTATTTTAAATTTGTTTATATATATATATATATATATATATATATATATATATATATATATACACACACACACACAAAACATCGAAAATGTAAATACAAAAAATCAAGCAGAAACTCGTTACTTTTTAATTAAGCATGCCTAATAGAAATATATATATATATAAATATCTTACTTATTATAAAACGCAGATTGTGTGTGTGTGTGTGTCTGTAACGTTTATATATTGGATCGGATTTTATACATTTTTCAACCGATTTCAACAAAACTCCACAGGACTACATAAAATTACCTTGTGGTGGTTCTAACAGCGCCAAAAATGGGAAAAATATAATTGTTTTTGCACAAAATCAATTTGAAAACACGATTAAGAGACATCGTGAAAATGGAAGGGGGACAACTCACATCGGGTTGTTTGTGTGTGTGGGTTACTTTAAATATGGGAGCGGATTTCCTATATTTTTCAGCCGATTAAACAAAACTTCACTTTTTTTTTTTTTTGGCAGGTAGTGTTTCTTATTCTCTTGCACACTTTTTTCTTTATTTTTAACATTCAGAATGCTTTAAAAATTCCATTTACAAGACAATTATTCAAAATTCTATTCAATCGGAAGACTCATAACGATTGAAAACAATGTTTTTGTTTGAGTTTGGGTTTGACCATTTCGTAAAAAATAAATAAAAAAACTAATTAAGACATGCGTGTCCGTCAACCTTAAACAATAATCTAACGATCTCTACTGATTGTACGAATACAAACATCGGAATAAATTCTTTATCTTTAGGGAAAGATAATGAAATCTAAACATGCACAAGTCCTAACTAAAAATAATAACTGGAACGGGAAACTGCTTTAAATACACATGGTGTCCAATTTTTTACTGTATTCAATAAGTGAAAATCATAAATTGTAAAAGATTATTACTACAGAAAGACTACTAAATGAATAAGATTTGTTAGATCATAATTAATAAACCCAAATATAGTTAATATTTTTTGTATTAGAAACAACGAGTGAAAAATATATTCAAATCAGAATTCTAATTATGAATCGCCACAAGCAAAATATGCAATTTTTTTTACTGTATTCAATAAGTAAAAATCATAAATTGTAAAACTAAAAGATTACAGAAAGGCTACCTACATTTTTCAACCGATTTCAACAAAACTTCACTTCTTTTTTTTTTTTGGCATGTAGTATTTTTTATTGTCTTGCACACTTTTTTCTTTATTTTTACATTCAGAATGCTTTAAAAATTCCATTTACAAGACAATTGTTTATAATAAAATTCTATTCAATCGGTAGACTCATAACGATTGAAAACAATGTTTTTGTTTGAGTTTGGGTTTGACCAATTCCTAAAAAAAAAAACCTAATTAAGACATGCGCGTCCGTCAACCTTAAACAATAATCTTTGTCAATTTTATTTTTCAGTCTTTATGATGGTGGATACTTGATCTATCTCTTACTGTTATATTCCCGGGCAACGCCGGGCTCTACTGCTAGTATATATATATATTCGACTCTCCCGTCGTATTCGACGCATGAGAGTCAAGCAGCTCAGTTCTTAGGAAACGACAGCCTGCACATGTGATTTGATTATAGTGGTGGAGGTTTGTGCAGAACCATCCGCACTTTTTGAAGGGACGAAAACAGCTGACCTGGTGCACTACGTGCCACAAGGTCCTCAAACGTTGTCCTTCTCCTAGACCAGTAACTGGCTCACCGATCCCTCAATCCGAGCCACTATCCACCGTGCCTCCCCATATATATATATATATATATATATATATATATATATATCAGGGATTGGCCGCATGTAAATATAAAAATGGACACAGCGTCCGTTTCATCATTAAACGCAATCCTTAGTTGCTCACCGGAATGAGACTGACCATAATTTTGATTTTAAAAATGTGTGTGAGGAAACCATATATACATATTGTTGTGGTAGGATCCACCTAATTTGCACAGGGAGTACCGACCATATAAATATGGTTGGTACCGGGAAGAGAGGAAGGAATCAAGAGATTCAACCAGAGACTCTGCCCGACTGCGACTCAGTCAACACATTCTCCAGGAACGGTCTTCCCAGGAATATACAAAAGACTATATGTAAATATTGTGTACACTTTCTTGTTTCAATACATTTTGTTCTAAGTACATTTTGTGTTGCATTATTATTCCATGCATTAGTCAAGTTTCAACACATATATATATATATAGTTTTCTGATAAACATGCACACACACACACACACACACACACATATACATATATAATACATTATATATATATATATACATATATACAATGCCTATTCCTTTCCGAGTATGCACATCTGATAGGGGTGTCTATATAATCTCTGCCTCAGGCGCTTGCTCACGCATTTTCTTCAACACTATAGTAACTTAAGGTTTATACTGCAACTCTGCTGAGCAGACCTTAGTTATAGTTTCTGGGAGAGAATACCATAACCAGGCGGGATTAGCAGCTTAACAATGATTTGCAACAACAAATACCGGATTACGTCTGAACTGTTTCTTATACACAATTTCACTAACACAGCTTAGGTCAACTCGTAGTATGTATTTTAGTTAATTATCAACGGTACAACACGCTTGGATTGTCTCTCCGGACCGTTATTTCCTCCATAAGTTATCTTAATAAATTGATGTTGGAAGTCGAATTCTGATGTTATAGATATTTTATTTTATTAGCACGCACACGCATATGCGTTTACCGGAAGTTGCATGCATATATATATATATATATATATATATATATATATATATATATATATATATATATATATATATGAATTTAAAAGAAAAACAGACCACTTTAAGGTACCATTATAATAATTTACTTCACCAGAGACCTTTTTTAAAGGACGCCGGATCATCAGATAGCACTTTCAAAAATGAAATGAAACGAAAAAAAAAACTGGAGGTGCGAGATAAGAAACTGTTGGAGTAGAAGAGACGGCTTCTTTAAGCCATTTCGACAGTGAAAGGGTGGGACCGAGATGCAAATCTAGTAGCAATTCATGCAATTTGGGAACCAGTGAAAGTAGCTTGTCGGAGCAGTTGCCATGAAATTACATATAGAAAAGGCAGAGGGAAGTCACAGCACGTCTGTGAGATAGCGACTGCAGACGGGATGTCAGATCAGGACCAACCACGTTGCATATCCGTCTCTGGATTTTATCTAGGACCTCGAGATGAACAGCGGGCGCACCAGAACATATATGATAGCAGTATTCCATGCAAGGACGAATGATTGATTTGTAGTTTTGAAGGATGGACTCCGGCGAGAAGAACCTTCTGGCGCGACACAGAGAACCAACTTCCCTTGCAGTAGATGGAGCTATAGATTTAATGTGGTTGTTCCACTTCGGGTCAGTGGTCAGCGTGAGACCAGGCAGGCGCAGAGAGGCACTCTCGTGGAGTTGAGCATCAGCCAACCTGATGGGAGGCTGGGAGAGTTCTCTTTGGCTAGTAACTAAGAGCAGTTTCGTTTTAGTGGCATTAAAGTTTACAGACCATTTTCTGCGCCAGTCAACCACAGATTAAAGGTCCTTCTCGAAGCCTACGACCAGGTTAGTTTTGTCAACGATGCCGGATCTACGATTAAGGCAGGAGTAAATAGTAGTGACGTCAGTGTAGATGTCAACTTGAGAGTTGATCAGGAAGATCATTGATGAAGATCAGAAACAGTATAGAACCCAGGATAGAGTCTTGGGTAACACCAGCGTTTGTGCGAAAGCAACTGGAGAAGAACCCGTTTAGGACGACCTTCATTTCACGGTTTGACCGGAATGATTTAATTAAGTCAACTAATCGCCATGTAATGCCGTATCCCCGAAGTTTTAACCCAGGTGGAGACCTCAGACGTACATTTTTTTAACGGGGAGATTAAAAACCACATTCCAGAGGACATCGCGAAGGAAATCACGGGCCGAGTCCCTGTGCGTTGATAACAGAAAGATATTCTGTTAGTAGGAAGTAGGAAGTTCTTTGCTGGAGGAGGAGTAGAGGGAGATGTTGACAGACACTACATGATCAGAGCTGCCAAGAGGGCAGAGCTGCATGATACGACAGGAGTCGGAGATGGAGGTAAAACAGAGACCGCGAAGGGAATCCTTACCGTCAGGGTTACTGGGGAAACGAGTAGGAAAATCAACCAATTGTGTGATTGAAAAGTTAAGGGTTTGCATGCCAGCGAGGTCAGTTTTAAAGTTTTTAATCCACGTGGCATGGTGGACATTAAAGTCACCGAAAACGAATATATGTGGAAATGGATGTAAAGAGATGGCCTTGTCTATATTATCAGAAATGCTGTCGAGTACACCACAGTCTTGAAAGAAAGGGGAACGGTAGAGAAAGAAACGATATCTTAACAGAATTGAAAAGAGATAGACGGAGACATGTATGGATGGTCGGGAGATTCAAGAGAGAGTTCCCTAGCCAGTTGGAGATGGCATGGAGGTTCAAGTGCTCAATGTCAAGGATAGATCGTTTGTAAATATAATTATATTTGATTTTTGATTTCTGATTAAAGGCAAAAAAAAAAATCATACCAAAAATATCATGGAAAATAAGGAAAAATCTATCAAACTGCAACAATAAATCCAAAAGCTCAAACTGACGAGGAGTTGAATCGAGTTGAGGAAATGAGAGTTCTGACAAAGGTTGAATATATAATCCCATATACACTTCAGAAAAGAACATTAAAAGAATTCCATGTTGGCCATCTGGGAACTTCAAGAATGAAGAGTCTGATGAGGAGTTACGTCTACTGGACCAACATAGACAAGGATATTGTAAACACTGTAAGATTGTGTAAAGGATGTGCTATGGCTGCTAAAGTACCCCCGATAAAATTCAATCCCTGGCCTAAAACCAACCGTCCGTGGTCGCGG